TGTTACGGTTATAACGAACTGGTGGATACGACACACATCTCTTTGTCTCGACCACGTTCTGTATATGATAATTATGTTACGGTTATAACGAACAGACGGATATAACAGACTTCTTTTTGTCGCGACCACGGTCTGTATATGATAATTATGTTACGGTTATAACGAACTGGTGGATACGGCACACTTTTGTTTGTCTGGACCACGTTCTGTATATGATAATGATGTTACGGATATAAAGAACTGACGGATACGACACACGTTTGTTTGTCTGGACCACGGTCTGTATATGATAATGATGTTACGGTTATAACGAACTGGCGGATACGACACACTTCTGTTTGTCTCGACCACGGTCTGTATATGATAATTATGTTACGGTTATAAAGAACTGACGGATACAACACACTTCTGTTTGTCTCGACCACGTTCTGTATATGATAATTATATTACGGTTATAACGAACTGGCGGATACGACACACTTCTGTTTGTCTCGACCACGGTCTGTATCTGATAATTATGTTACGGTTATAAAGAACTGACGGATACAACACACTTCTGTTTGTCTCGACCACGGTCTGTATATGATAATTATGTTACGGTTATAACGAACTGACGGATACGACACACTTTTGTTTGTCTGGACCACGGTCTGTATCTGATAATTATGTTACGGTTATAACGAACTGACGGATACAACACACTTCTGTTTGTCTGGACCACGTTCTGTATATGATAATTATGTTACGGTTATAACGAACTGACGGATACGGCACACTTTTCTTTGTCTGGACCACGTTCTGTATATGATAATTATGTTACGGTTATAACGAACTGACGGATACAACACACATCTGTTTGTCTGGACCACGTTCTGTATATGATAATTATGTTACGGTTATAACGAACTGACGGATACAACACACTTCTGTTTGTCTCGACCACGTTCTGTATATGATAATTATGTTACGGTTATAACGAACTGACGGATACAACACACCTCTGTTTGTCTCGACCACGTTCTGTATCTGATAATTATGTTACGGTTATAACGAACTGACGGATACAAACACACTTCTGTTTGTCTCGACCACGGTCTGTATATGATAATTATGTTACGGTTATAACGAACTGACGGATACAACACACATCTGTTTGTCTCGACCACGTTCTGTATATGATAATTATGTTACGGTTATAACGAACTGACGGATACAACACACTTCTGTTTGTCTCGACCACGGTCTGTATATGATAATTATGTTACGGTTATAACGAACTGACGGATACAACACACACTTCTGTTTGTCTCGACCACGTTCTGTATCTGATAATTATGTTACGGTTATAACGAACTGACGGATACAACACACTTCTGTTTGTCTCGACCACGGTCTGTATATGATAATTATGTTACGGTTATAACGAACTGACGGATACAACACACCTCTGTTTGTCTCGACCACGTTCTGTATATGATAATTATGTTACGGTTATAACGAACTGACGGATACAACACACTTCTGTTTGTCTCGACCACGGTCTGTATATGATAATTATGTTACGGTTATAACGAACTGACGGATACAACACACCTCTGTTTGTCTCGACCACGTTCTGTATATGATAATTATGTTACGGTTATAACGAACTGACGGATACAACACACCTCTGTTTGTCTGGACCACGTTCTGTATATGATAATTATGTTACGGTTATAACGAACTGACGGATACAACACACTTCTGTTTGTCTCGACCACGGTCTGTATATGATAATTATGTTACGGTTATAACGAACTGACGGATACAACACACTTCTGTTTGTCTCGACCACGGTCTGTATATGATAATTATGTTACGGTTATAACGAACTGACGGATACAACACACTTCTGTTTGTCTCGACCACGTTCTGTATATGATAATTATGTTACGGTTATAACGAACTGACGGATACAACACACTTCTGTTTGTCTGGACCACGTTCTGTATATGATAATTATGTTACGGTTATAACGAACTGGCGGATACAACACACCTCTGTTTGTCTCGACCACGGTCTGTATATGATAATTATGTTACGGTTATAACGAACTGACGGATACAACACACATCTGTTTGTCTCGACCACGTTCTGTATATGATAATTATGTTACGGTTATAACGAACTGACGGATACAACACACACTTCTGTTTGTCTCGACCACGGTCTGTATATGATAATTATGTTACGGTTATAACGAACTGACGGATACAACACACCTCTGTTTGTCTCGACCACGTTCTGTATATGATAATTATGTTACGGTTATAACGAACTGACGGATACAACACACTTCTGTTTGTCTCGACCACGGTCTGTATATGATAATTATGTTACGGTTATAACGAACTGACGGATACGGCACACTTTTGTTTGTCTGGACCACGTTCTGTATATGATAATTATGTTACGGTTATAACGAACTGACGGATACGACACACTTCAGTTTGTCTGGACCACTGTCTGTATATGATAATTATGTTACGGTTATAACGAACTGGTGGATACGACACACATCTGTTTGTCTGGACCACGTTCTGTATATGATAATTATGTTACGGTTATAACGAACTGACGGATACGACACACTTTTGTTTGTCTGGACCACGGTCTGTATCTGATAATTATGTTACGGTTATAACGAACTGGCGGATACGACACACTTTTGTTTGTCTGGACCACGGTCTGTATCTGATAATTATGTTACGGTTATAACGAACTGACGGATATAACAGACTTCTGTTTGTCTCGACCACGGTCTGTATATGATAATTATATTACGGTTATAACGAACTGGCGGATACGACACACTTCAGTTTGTCTCGACCACGGTCTGTATATGATAATGATGTTACGGTTATAAAGAACTGACGGATACGACACACTTCTGTTTGTCTCGACCACGGTCTGTATATGATAATGATGTTACGGTTATAACGAACTGGTGGATACGACACACATCTGTTTGTCTCGACCACGTTCTGTATATGATAATTATGTTACGGTTATAACGAACTGACGGATACGACACACTTCAGTTTGTCTCGACCACGGTCTGTATATGATAATGATGTTACGGTTATAACGAACCTGCGGATACGACACACTTCTGTTTGTCTGGACCACGGTCTGTATCTGATAATTATTTTACGGTTATAACGAACTGGCGGATACAACACACTTCTGTTTGTTTGGACCACGTTCTGTATATGATAATTATGTTACGGTTATAACGAACTGACGGATACAACACACCTCTGTTTGTCTGGACCACGTTCTGTATATGATAATTATGTTACGGTTATAACGAACTGACGGATACGACACACTTCTGTTTGTCTGGACCACGTTCTGTATCTGATAATTATGTTACGGTTATAACGAACTGGCGGATACAACACACCTCTGTTTGTCTCGACCACGGTCTGTATCTGATAATTATGTTACGGTTATAACGAACTGACGGATACAACACACCTTCTGTTTGTCTCGACCACGTTCTGTATATGATAATTATGTTACGGTTATAACGAACTGACGGATACGACACACTTCTGTTTGTCTCGACCACGGTCTGTATATGATAATTATGTTATGCGGTTATAAGAGAACTGACGGATACAACACACTTCTGTTTGTCTCGACCACGTTCTGTATATGATATGATAATTATGTTACGGTTATAACGAACTGGCGGATACAACACACTTCTGTTTGTCCTGGACCACGTTCTGTATCTGATAATTATGTTACGGTTATAACGAACTGGCGGATACAACACACTTCTGTTTGTTCGACCATGGTCTGTATATGATAATTATGTTACGGTTATAACGAACTGACGGATACAACACACTTCTGTTTGTCTTGACCACGTTCTGTATATGATAATTATGTTACGGTTATAACGAACTGACGGATACAACACACCTCTGTTTGTTTGGACCACGTTCTGTATATGATAATTATGTTACGGTTATAAAGAACTGACGGATACAAGACACTTTTGTTTGTCTGGACCACGTTCTGTATATGATAATTATATTCCGGTTTTAACGAACTGAACTTTATATCGGGTTCATTGATGATGGAGGGGGGGGGGGGGGTGCCTCTCGTGTGACAGAAACCTTCACATTTGGAAGGTAAGACTAAATCTAAATGGACAACGGTACATCACTGACATCCTAGACAAGGTTGTTGTACCACATTTTGATGACCATGCTCTGAACAAGTCTTCATGGACCACAATATAACGAACTGTTTTTTGTCTCGAAAACGTTCCACATATGATAACTGTGCAACCGTTATAAAGAACTGAACTCAATGGCCCCGGTTTAACCGATAAAAGCATAGCTTACCTTATTTAGCTCCTCTGTATATGCCTTGGAGTATACGTTATAAGTAATTTGTCCTGTATCACTTTTTTGAAGTGTTCATACGTAACAGTTTTGTTTTGTCTTTGAGGCCAAATTATACATGGGATAGGATGCATGTTAGTTGCGTGGATAAATTCATTTTAGATACATTTACATATTGACCTTGAGCAATGAATGAAGAGTTTATACTTTCATTATTGTATGCAAATCAATCGTCGCACAATGTACAAACACGTTTATGACCTGCCACTAATCGACCACGTTTCTCTCAAAATACTTCATATCGAAAATCAATCAACGTTTAAAAAAATGTTTTGCATCTTGCTTCTATTGATATGACTGATCGAGCAGGTTGAGTACTGTCCTATCATACCCCCACGTGACAGACAAGATCGGGAATACCCCATGGTCAAGTTGAAACAATAAATAAGCTTTCCATTGTTTACATGCTGGGTAAGTGATGTAGAAATATCCTCGTTGACAACTCCGTGTAGGTTTTGGTTTCGGAAAGGTGGCTGTTATAATTTTTTCAACGGATATATTTTCATTCAGTCACATATTGCTTGTCGCTGTGTTCTTCAGATGATGTGTGCACTTACACAGTTGACTGAATGGACGTTTCTTCTTCTGATGTACGTCTCAGCAGGTATGTTTCTCCTGGTGTTGGACAGAATAGTATGCTGATGTACGTCTATGCAGGTATCTTCTCCTGGAGCTGGGCACAATAGTATACTGATGTCCATCTCAGCAGGTATGTTCTCCTGGAATTGGGCACAATAGTATACTGATGTACGTCTCAGCGGGTATGTTTCTCCTGGTGTTGGGCACAATAGTATACTGACGTCCGTCTCAGCAGGTATGTTCTCCTGGTGTTGTGCACAATAGTATTCTGATGTCCATCTCAGCAGGGATGTTTCTCCTGGTATGGTGCACAATAGTATACTGATGTACGTCTCAGCAGGTATGTTTCTCCTGGTGTTGTGCACAATAGTATACAGATGTCCATCTCAGCAGGTATGTTTCTCCTGGTGTTGTGCACAATAGTATACAGATGTCCATCTCAGCAGGTATGTTTCTCCTGGAGTTGTGCACAATAGTATACTGATGTCCATCTCAGCAGGTATGTTTTCCTGGTGTTGTGCACAATAGTATACTGATGTACGTCTCAGCAGGTATGTTCTCATGGAGTTGGGCACAATAGTATACTGATGTCCATCTCAGCAGGTATGTTTCTCCTGGTGTTGGACACAATGGTATACTGACTGACATGTACGGTGTTAAAATGGTATATTAGGAAGGCGTCAAATGTAACTCACACCCCCAAAATCAGGCACCTAATCGCCAGCACCCACAGTCGGTCTTCTAAACCATTCAGCCACAGCGGCGTCCACAAAGTGCAAGTCGGACAACTGGTAGTATGGACCTCGGATTTTGATTACCCCTACGATGAGTGCAAATTGGCACGGCTCCCATGGCCAAAGCCATGAATACACAATGCCATTTGGAAAGTGGTCAAATGTAACACATGTTCTGTTTGGGATTACACTTTCTCGCTAAAGTCAGACGGCTGACTTTGTGTGCTGGCGATTAGGTGCCTGACTCTTTTTAGTGTGGGTTCGAGTCCCAGATTGGTCTCAACCCAATAAAAGTACCAGAATCTTTATTTACCTAGAACGTGTAATGCCAATTCTAACACGACATTGTGTGATACTCGATTCTGATTGTCTGATAGCACATCAAAACCATACTTATAAGGGCATTTAAGGACCGCTAATAAAAGTGACTGATTGACACTTGTGTTTGTAAACAAACATGTCGGACATCGGCTATTTCTACCTCTGCAGTATCTGTGATGGTTTGGAAGTAAAACGCGAATGGTTTGAAGAAGAATTTCTTGAGCCTATTCCAATTGAGGAAACCTCGAAGCAGGAAAATGCTACAGGTAGCGACAATTCGTTACACATTTAATACACTGAAATATCAATAGGCGTCTAGATCTAGCGGGCATGACATTGGCAACAAGCGACGTAACCTGTCCGCTTCCGTCCCCGCCGCAATGCCCAGTCCTTCCACTTTCACTGTCCATGTTTCCCACGTAAAAGCTGGCATGTCAGGTCTTTTCCAAATTGGGAATAGTAGCTTGGTTATCAACAATTACTTTCGTGAATAAAGTTTACGGCGACTAAACTTAGCGAGTTAACTGCTTGAATTGGGGCTAGTCATACAGTCATACAGTCATTGTCATAGGGTAGGGGAAATTAATAATTCGATTGAAAAAAATCAAGTAATAGTACTTACGTGAAATGAAGGATTTATTGTTGAACATATCCTATTTAGTTCGTTACACAACCTGTCCCTTAACTGGACGATTCCAAGCAATTTCCAGGAAAGGGCCCATTCACACCCTGTGTTCCTGCGCGCAAAAGAGTCGCTTCTAAAATGCTTATCAGTCTTGTTGCTCTGTTTTCGGTTTTGCGGTCCTTTATCGTTGATTCAATACCGCTGATATTTTAATTTAAAAACCTAACGCTACACAGTGTACACAGAGTAACGTAAACTGATACATGGTACACAGAATAGCTGGCACGTTAGCTTGGCTATATTCCAGCTGACATAAGTATGTATTGATTTACATCCCACTTTGCACGTTATATGTGTTGAATATTCTTTCACTAGATTCTGCGAAGTTTTACTGAATACATTGATGTAATAATATCTAAAAACAATCATATTGTGAATCATACATTAAGTTTTAAGTGAATGTAGAGGTACATATAACTTATAAATATAGATTTTCATTTATTAAATTGTATCATCATTGCCAACAGTAATCACCATGCACACATTTAGTATAAGCATAGTCTCTTTTAACAGGTGTGTCTGAACTGATCTGTCCCAGTGTTGGGTATCTCGGATCTCCTGCTAACCTGACATGCATCTCACCCAGTGATGTAACGTCACATGGATATACAGCATCGCAGGGTGAAGTTGCTGCCATCTGTAATGTATCAAATTCATCCTGTACAACTGTGGGTGACTACAGGGCGTCTACCATCAACCAGACACACAGCCTCCTCACCATACCTGCAGTGCAACCAGCACATGCAGGGGAGTGGAGATGTAACACATCATCCTGTAACCTCATAGTTGTCAGTAAGTTTATATCATGAAACATTAGTAGTAATCAACACGTATAGGTGAACTATTACTATAAAGCATTTGCCTCAACTATCCTGTAACCTCGCTGTTGCTAGTAAGTACAACAAATAGATATAAAAATATAATGCACAACAAGTAGGTACACAGCATACGCAAGGGTACAGTTTGATGTACCATTTTTATCCATGGTGACCATCATGCCGTAATATGTTGCTGTTAATGTCATAATTTCAAAAGCAATGTTGACAATCAACTGTTGACAATCGAAAGATGTGTAAGTGAATAGTTTTCTCAATTCCAGGATGATAAAAAAAACAAAAAAAAAAACAACATGTGTGCGGTTTGTACCTACGATGGATAAATAAAATACAACAGTAAATAGAACAATTATACGTACCAAGTCAGAATGGCATTTCATAGTTACATGAGTAACACCAACGATCTATAATCCAGTTCAGTAGGAATCATTTGTTTTAATTATTAAATAGATTTGGCACGGATCATTGTCACTTGCCGCGGTTCATCATGTCACACATGAACCAATGCGAAGGTGAAGGTCATCTGTTTTCAATACCTTGTGCGATCCCGTGAGAGTTCATAACTACCTGGCATCCACGCCCCAAAGGAATCAATCAGATCCTGGGAAAGAGTTACCTACTCTTCCTACATTACACCTATCTGGCTGTTGCTCACGTGATAGCAGTCACTGATGGAGAAGAGCATGCATAAAATGTCCGTTTGGGTTTAGATCTGGTGATCGTGAGGGGGTAACACGTTGATGTTGGGGGTCAGCAAAAGGGCCAGTATAAGTCTTGCCGTGTGAGGTCGGGTTTGCGTTGTTGCAAAATCGGAAGGTCGTGCGACCGACGAATTTCATCAGTGTGAATTTTCTTGGAAGCCCATATCATTACACATGAGCCACAAAACCTGTCCAAATACTGCAAGCAGTTTGAGGCACAACGTTCCCTATGATGTTTGTAAACACTACGTCTGTGTGGAGATGAAACAGATGACTCGTCGCCATAATCTTTGTCCTTGACACCATTGAAGTTTCAGCCGACGATGCTGATCAGTGGAATGATAATACCGGTATCCCATGCTTCTGGGAAGGCTGCATTTTCGAGCATAATGTTAAATATTACTAGTAGGTGAGGAGTAAGCACATCTTCCACGTTCTTGAAAAAAACTCTGATATAATATTGTCTATCCAAGCATATTTGTCATTCTTCAGATGTCGTATACTTTCTCTTATTTCAAACTCTCAAATAAATATGAAGACGCCATTTTGTCAGAACGGTAGGTGTATGGGCCGACACACCAAGGAAAGTACGGAAATAACTATTACCTACACGTACCAACACTACTGTTGACATTTGGGAGACTACAGTCAATGTAAAAGCATCGTCTGAAGAGAATATGTTGATCTATGTCTGTTGCTATAGAAGTTGGCAAATTGCTTGTACAGGTACGTTAGTTTGATGGAAGCGACGTGTAGATGACACACATAGAGACAGATTAAACGCCTCTAGTACATTTTTCACAGCAACATTCTCGCGGTGAAACAACTGATTGAATTTTCCTCTTTGGTTCCACGACAGACTTACTCGTTTGAGGAGATCATTTTCTAACGATCTCTCAAAACAAAAATCCAGAGATCATTGGCATGGTTTGCCCACACTTTAATCGTGGTCATTCATGTTATGGGAGCCATCCACCAATGCTAATAATTTGTGATCATCATACTATTATTATCATCAACGATAGTATTGAGAGTGTGAAGAAACATATGTTCGTACCTCGTTACTTTAGTCAACATAATCATTCAATCTTTTAGGTAATTTATTGGACAATTCCCGCGTATATCAACCTGCCATGACATGATGCAAATCGGTGTCTGAGTCGTTGTCACTGTATGTTATACATGTATATTCATTTAAATACGTTTCTATTCCCATTCCCAGTAAGGCTCTCTTACATTTGATAGAGTTTACATTTGTTTTCAGCTACAAGTAACAGAACATGTGTCATCATCGGAGCTGCGGTGGCTGGAATCGTCATTGTGACAATCATCATCATGGTGGTATTCTTTCTGATGAAGATAAAGTCCAAGCGGGCGGAACGACAAGAAACAAACACTGTTACTTATGCTCCTGATTCCATTTATGACGTAGCTGGAAAAAAGAACGTCACATCTAGAGATGTTAATAAACCATCTGATTGTTATGACAGCATCGTGAACGCCAGATACACACATTCTTCTGGAGAGTCATCTTTGTATGACATCGCGTCCCGTTAAATGTGGGTTTTGCTTGTCACTCCAGCTAAATGACGGTGGTTAGTATATAATCGATATTGGACCAGATAAACCAGTGGTCGATGTCATGAGCATGAATTTACGCAATGGGGAAACAACAACATACATCATCTGTAAGAGTGAAATCGATCGCTTGATCTTGTTAGCTGCCTCTTCCGACAAGGATGGGGATGATTACACAATGCCATTTACAAAGTGGTCAAATGTAACATATGTTTTATTGGGGATTACATTTTCTCAGTAAAGTACAGATTCTAGTACTTTGTCTGGGTTGAGTCCCATCCGGGATTCGAACCCACGCCCTCAGAGTCAGGCACCTAACCGCCATCATTGAATCATTGGATATCACTGCTCAGTGATAACACTGTGTAGTTACACACGTGTCCAATACACGTGACCCTACTGTGTTTCAGGACCATGGAATACTAGTGGCCTAGTTCGTTTACCCGCCCATCACCGTATTCTGGCTTGTGTACAACCGAAAACAGTGTAAAACCTCACTCACTAACTATAAACCAACACATTCTCGCATTAGCCTTTTTTTAAATATAGATGTTTATCAAACATCACTTTGCAACATTTTACAGTGTGTGTACATACTGTCAATTATATATGTACATTTTCAAATTTGTCCTACGTTTTGTTTCATTTTGACAATCAATGTAAAAGACTATCCAAATGGTCAAGCGTCAACACATGTGCCTATTCCTATGCTCACGCCTCTCCTGTTCACTTCATAGTGTAAAACGTGTTAAAAATCCCGAATGCTCGTCCGAAAATCTTATGAAGACCATTCACTCCTACTTCTTCTCTATTGCGAATGATGAATGAGATGCCAAGTTTTGCCATGTAATGGAGTCCAACCGTCACAGGCGACAGTGTTTATCTTACACGACCATCATTCAACATTCAACATTTTAATGTGAGCGATTCTGAAATCGAAAGAGACTCTTTCCTCGTTAGACGTCACCAGGTATTATTATTTACACGTGGACCATATAGTAATCTATATTACAAGAGAAGGGAGATAACAATGGTCCACGATTCTCCTCAGGACAAGCTGAACAACACTTGTATCCCAATGAGCTGATCGAGCTGTTTATAAATATATCGAAGTTCCTGTTTGTTCCTGTCTACAGAACACACGTCCACACACTGCTCATTGGAGAGAGAGCACACATTATTACAATTTTACTTGTTCTCACACGTCACACGAGTCACCTCTCTTTTAGCATCTATATAAAATTGAAAACCGTTTATTGAATCTGTATCAGTCTATTATAGAGATGGTATATTGCACTTATCACATATCCCATTGCTATGTTAAATTTCGAAATGGCTGATATGGTAATCTGTAAACTATATAAGGACATATCATATATGTGAAACGCAATGACTGTTCCGTGTGTTACGTTATCAATAACGCGGAGGCTGGAAGCAGTTCGTGGAACGTCGAGACATGCCATGGCCTCAGGATCACCTCTGTACGAATGAATACGTCTCCGAGTAAGCGCTAGGACAGTGTCTTCAGAGTAACTCACGTACATGTTTTAGCCTTGACGATTTTGTGAGCATAAAACCACGCAGCTGCTCCCGCCATGATAATCACTTTGTGAGGCAGACCCATTGTACAGTTTCGAAACATTCAGTTGATGTCATGATCCCGCGCGGCAGGCATGGAGGACAACTTCCTTCTCTGGTCAATGTAAATGGATGCATGTGTCACTAAATGTGATGACCATAGATAGTGTTACCTCTGTATGTTCATTGTAATAGCTACAGTACTGTAATCGATATACCACAGAATCAAGTGGTACACCTTTTGTCTATCAGGGCCCAGTCAAGCTAATGTCATATCTTGATCTTCACATCTTCTGAAACGAAAACTGAATTACCATATAGCTGTTCATAAACAGGGAAAGGCCTCCATAAGGTGTGAAATACACAGTGACGTGCAGTTGGTAATAATCTGAAACAGGTTATGTCACACTGACATTACTTCAGTCTTTGCAATGTTTAACACAGATGTGGACAAAGTGGCTACATGGTGAAACCAGGGTTGGTTTAATTGTAGAATTCTCTTTTGAAAGAATCTTGACAAAACTTTATGTTGTTAAAATGTGGATGGAATACGAAGAAGTGTTCTTGTCATTCCTGCTTGGAAGTATACCTCGTCACTATAAAAAGGTATGCGATTATAACAACTGTTGCTTAAAGATTACATATACTCTAGGGGGGTACAGATACATAATGCACTAACTGGCATCGCTATAAATGAAATCCCGTCATTAAAACTACTCACTTCAGTCTTTAATTAACTTAAATCGACCTTTTTGACAACAGTGCACAATTATCACCCGGGAACGAAATTTCAACCAATCAGAGCGGGGCGTCTCTGTGATGTCATATGAGGAATAGATATGAGGGCCGATGCAGAATTCATCTACATTTCAGTTGGTACATTATCTTGTTTACAGGTTTGTATAAACCTGAAATCGTGACAACTGTTGTGGAAAATGAAGGCTATATGTTCTCACAATCTACTGGCATTTAATTTTGTCTCCTGCTTTGCCTAGTTTCACAGACGATTCTGTCAAAATCGCTTGGTGTCGTTAGGCCTTATGTGTATAATGACTGATCCAAATTGATCCTATTTCTGTGTTTTTTTACCTCGATATTTAATCATGTCATGTAAAATCTGTTTGTATTCTCAAAACAGTGTCGGCCCATAAGTTTTCACATACAATACAGCAATTAATACTCCCTGGTTGTAACCCGTGTTAGGTGGTATAAACCCACACATGTTATTTGTCATAATTCACTTGATGGTCAGTTAATGAATTTATAACAGGTATAATTAGTGGTAACACACTTAGATTACCCGACAAAGGTTCCCATTTGGCATTTCTTGTGTCTGGAGTAAATATTCAACATTATAAACATCGATCAAAGGATAAACCGATAACACGCTGATTGATTAATTACTTTTATCTTACAGAGCGGATTTGTCAAAAGGTAGTGTTTATGTATGTAGATTTACTAATCTATACTGAATACACTCTGTCGTATCGGTGTCTGCGTAAAAACAACATCCTTCTTTCAAAGCATTAACCGGCAATACATTGATTGATTGCCCATTATTGGCTAACTAAATTACTGTTTTTATAGAAAGGCGGACATTATGCAATTAGTTGCCAGGTGTGCTATCTTTGGTGACCAATGGGACTATACACCAATGTGAAATACCTGAAAAGATTTATCACTTTTTTCGTATATTAAAGTGTTAAAAGACAGACACATCACTTGGAACAGCTGCAGATGAATGGCATATCTGTTGTAAGGATGCTACTTGAGCAATTTATCGTCCATTTTGAATTTATAATGAGACACCTGGACACCTGGTGTGTCTATTTTTAGATGATGAGTCTTTGTCTCAGGTCTATAGTTAGATCTATGGTGTGAACATCTGGTGTGTCTATTTTTAGATGATGAGTCTTTGTCTCAGGTCTATTTTTTAGACTCGGGTGGGTATATAAACCCCACCAAACAGCCTAATGTCATACTCAGTCTCTGAAGTCATTAGTGGATATACATTCAAGTGATTTCACACATTGTGGATATACCAGAGTGCATTTCTCATTGGATTATACTGTGTGCACTGGATTACTAAACAACCTTGGATTATACTGTCTACTGGATATATATTTTCATCAGCCTCTCAACTATACATCTCTGGAGTGACTACACATTTGTGGAAACAACATCAGAATAGGGAATTGAAGCAACTTACCTCATGTGATCCATAGGAAATCCTCAGCACACATACGTCCATGAGCACATATGTCCATGAACAGCACAATTTCACTTAGAATAGTTCCATGAACAGATCGATTCACACACATATCCATTGTATCCACACATATTTCCATGAATACACATATGCAGTCCAGCAGGTATGTCCAATATTGAGAATATATTCAACATCCTTGTTCCAAGCATGTCTGGATGTTTAGAGGGGTTGGGACAAGTAACCCATTCATGTGAAGAAACAGATTGATTCATACTGTACTCCAACAATGAATGACTCATTTGCCCACCCTTGGGCACCTTTATTTACACAAACACATATATGAACAAAAGTTAACAATATATACACAAAGATAACAAATTAAACATAATACAAAACTAACACTAACTAACACTACAAAAACCTAATATTCTCTAATAATTATCTCTAAAATGTCCAATAAGGACTCTTCATGTTGAAGAGCGCATATTCGATTTTCCACCTCCCCCTCTTCTCCACTCTATATGTGCCTGGATGACTTCTGTTAGACTGAAAAAAAATAAGGAACAAAATAAGATAAAAATCCTGTATATGATAATAATACATTTACTTCAGATAGTAATAACTTCAATGTATCTAATATACACTTACGAGGAGGAGGTGGGGGAGGATGCCCCCTCAGTGGTGGTGTCACTGATGTTGGTGGCATCACTGGCAACAGATAGGGTAGAAGGCATTTCCACCCCTGTGATGACACAGTCATCATCACTGAAAAATGAGAACAATATACCTAAATTAACACAAAATGGTTGAAGGTCATAATCACACACACACACACACACACACAAACTTTTGTGTGATTTATGTTAATTCTTTTACATCATGTATTACATACATTAGTATTAAATCATTTTCAAATTAATATTACTTACTCCACAGAGGTGCTCATGCCCTCAACAGCTTCCAACAGAAGGCTGTCATCAATATCACTGAAAGAGCAATAAAATTGACATTAGTGAAAAAATGAGCCTACTGTTTATCAGAAATTGTGTTTTACAACATTACCATTGATTAACTGAATACTTGTAAAAAAAATAACTATTTTATAGCATACTTACTCTGTATCCCAATCTGTGATGTCCGAATAGTTGGGGGAGACTGGGGAAAATTCCTCAATCATGTCTTGGCTGAAATCCATAATGAAAAATGCTTTTAGGACTGTCATTTTACACTAGTCTTAGTGTCATAAGGATTCATGTGAAATGATAGTCAGAAAACATTTTGTGATGATGAAATTACTTTCACAATAATTATCAAAATGTAACATAGAAATACTTACAGTTCCAAAAATTCTTCTGCCATTTTTTTTTCTTGTTAGGTACAACAGTGAATGAGCCAGGGGGTGAAGTGTGTAGGAATGGGGACCCGGGGTTTTAAATAGGGAATATTCACACAAAGAACGTCCAGTACCAAACCCTGGAACTTTTCATCAATGACCTGCATTTTCTTTTCAAGTTTACCAAAATGACCAACATGTTTTGAGGTTAGCAGCTGGTGCTGGAAAATTACACTAGTTTCACAAAGAGAAGACTCCTAAGGTTAGAATACCGACATTGGACAAATGTACCACCCTATGTTAGCGTCCTTCATTTCTTTCAGTGCTAACAATAGGCCAGGTGTGTCTGTAGTCACCTGGAAAACATTTGGTTGTGCTCTCAACGTTTGTAATCATAAAACGAAGAAACAACATCTAGATACAAAAAAAAAATTACAATTATATGTAGTGACAATATTTACTTTATTTCTTGTTGTTTCAGTTACAATAAAATAGTTGTTGAGTCATTGAAAACAATTAATAACACACAAAAATAATAATACTGATAACCATGCCTGAATCATAATTAAGAACCAACAAGGCAGATACAAATAATAATCATTATGTGATTACATAGTATGTGATGAATTATGGTAAAACATCTCCGATCTCGAGTCACTTTGTATAAATATAGTTCATAATCTCGTATTCGAGCCATGATCTACATCAAACACATCTTGTACTATGTGTGGATATAATAAACATGTCAATGTTAAATATAGATGACGATGGGGTTAAAATCATAATCATCAGTTCATACATACCAGTATGATACCGCAAACATGTCAATGTAAACATACATACGTGATCTGTCCCATCATCGGCATGAAAATCATGAACGGTAAACTCACAAATTATTGTCCTCCGTATGATTCCATCAAAATATTGAACATGTCCTTCATGATATAGAAAAGTCCATTGCACAAATTCCACACATTTCGTGTCATCCATGGACATGAATTTCCCTCCATTTCTAAGATCAGACAAAGAAACGCCACGCACGCGGGTTCAGTAGACTAGAGTTACGGCCCTTACCTGTCTCAGTCTCAAAACCGCTTCTGCCAAACCGGTTTCAGTGAAACTTGGTCAAAACGGTTCGCAAACGGTTCTGACTCAAAATGACTACATGTCCAAACCGGTTACATGTCCAAAACGGCTTTGTAGACCGGCTTTACAACACTAGTGTAATAGCTTATGTATTTATAAACCGTTTATATATAAATATATTCATTACAGATCATTAAAATTGTTGTTCAATACAATGAACTGTAACAGTTATTATCTTCAATACCATGAACTGAAACAGTTGTTATTCAATCAACAGGAATGACATTTAAACTGAAACTTGTATGTCTGATAATAATATGAGGAGGTTAGGAATTCGTGGATTCGGTGAAATAGGGTTGAAATTGGTATTATAAAACAAAGAATTGCACAACAGTTGTCTTATGTCAATCCTACAGCAATACATTCAGTGAGTCAAGTACACTCTCAGCAGCTCTATGGAGGTGGTCTGTACATAATGTACATAATCGAGCCTGGACCAGACAATCCAGTGATCAACAGCATGAGCGTCATTCTACACCATGTGCCATGTGTCAACCAGCGAGCCTGACCCCCCGATCCCGTTAGTCGCCTCTTATGACAAGCATGGGTTACTGAAGGGTAACCCAGGGTACAATACATTAAGAAACAAGAGAGATATACAGATTTCATTGTTTATTAGCTCTGTTTCAAATGAGTAGACATTAGGATAGGAGCTCTCCCAAATGCCTACTTTACATCTGTTGTCTTATTACCCCTTCCTCATCATCCACCTGTCCTTCACTCTCTTCATCAGATGTTATGTCATCATCTTCGGTCATGCCTTCGACCCAAGACTTATATTGGTACAATTTTGAAATCACTTCATGATACATATTATTTGTGTCTTTTACTCGTTTCAGTATTCCTTGTGTCTTTGGACCATCCTGCATATGGTACAGATAAGTAATAAATCGGGCATACGTCTCTTTAAACGTGCTCCAGATCAATTTGTTCAGTTTGGCTTGAATCATGTCTTCGTTTAAACCTCTTTTATGTACAGCTGTCGTTTCTCATCCAAAAGTCTTTATTCAGCTCACGCGTACGTGAATACATTTGTCTTATACCTTGCTCTTCGAGATCAACCATCTTATTTTTCCTGTTGTGTGTGACATCGCTTAATGATTCAACATCATCGTCCCTCATTTTCCATTTCAGGACATTGTTTATCGTAAATGTCTTTGTAAGTTATGGTTAGTGCTAAACACTTGACCACAATAGTCACAATCCACCAGAGGACGTGGTCTCTTCACAGGTGAGAAGTTGTTGTCTTCCTCCCACTGCCTTTTCACTTGGGGTATCCCAGGAGGACCCACTGAAGACTTTTCGGGACACCAGTTTCTTCTGTGTTTTTGCAAATCTTGCACATCTTGAAACACGAGTCCACAGGCATCACAAGTTGGCATGGTTGAGAGGTTTTCTTCACACGTTCGCTCACGCTGAACATCTAACTCGGACTGATTTGTCCTGGCTTGAGGTGTCCTTTTAAACTGAATGCATTGGGACAAAGTCGCCTATGGGGAGGTGTTTGGGGTTTTAGATCAACCAACAAGTAGCCATAAGGCTTCTGGGTAGCCCTTTGAAACAGCTCCATGAAATGGTCTGCGTTACCTGGATACATTTGCCTCGCCAAAGTCATGATGGGTTGTTGATCGATAGGGTTGTTGAACAGAAGCAGATAATGACAGTTTCTTCGTTGTGTGGGATCCTTACTGAAATACAAATTCTGGTTCAAGGCGATCACTGAGAGATTACGATGATGACTTCCTTCCGTAAAACAGATCTGTAATGCGTGGATCTTTGCTGGCAGTAGACATTAAGTCATCGAGGATAACCACGTTCACCACATGGGGGTCTAGAAATGCATCCTTTTCGAGATCAGAAGGAATGCCTTGATGAAATTCCACATAGGGATAAACATGGGTTTGAATGGCATTATACAAGGGCTGCCATCGTTTGTAGAGCCATATAATACGTTCAGGATAAGGTTTAATGTTCATCCTTTCTAGAATCTGTTTCACTAAGTAGGTTTTCCCACAGGAGGTTGGCCCTGAGACAATCATGGTGAAGGGGTGAATCAGTCTACATTCTTCCAAAGCAGCCACATGTGGTTGCACTGGTTGCTGCTGCTGCTGCTGCTGCTGCTGCTGCTGTGGTGGTGGTGGTGGTGACGGCTGCTGCTGCTGCTGCTGCTGCTGTGGTGGTGGTGGTGGTGACGGCTGCTGCTGCTGCTGCTGCTGCTGCTGCTTGATATCTTTTGGATGTTTTGTTCGAATATGACGGGACAAGTCATGAGCCCAAACATATTGTTTGGAGCATACGGGACAGGGATGCATAATGATGTTCACACGTCAACAGTCCTACTACAAATGATACATTTAACCTTTTGTCTCTATTTAAAAATATGTTTTCATTCGCTTTGTGTTTTCCCTATTGACGGCACTTTCCCTTTCTCTCTTCAACTTGGCTTTAGCTTGTTCAACCACTTGTTGAGTAGGGGTAACGAAATTAATCTTAGGTTGCTCTGTGGTTTCTGGTTTTTGTTTGTCTTTCTTCCACTCTGGATCATACAGTTCCAAATATCGCTCGACAGACATCATGGCAGATTTTTCTCCTCCACGTGTTATAGAATGATAAGGGTCTCCTTTCCCTTCAGCCCTGAGCATGTAATACCGTGTCCATTTTTCGGCATCCGTACGAAGAGTTTGTATCGTGGATTATTCATGATGAAAACGGGAGCGGTCTGGGGTGATGCGTCACTGTCACTGGTCCACGGCTAAATGAAGTTAGATAGTCCTTGTGGCCTGTTATATAGATATATTCATTGACCTTGGTATAGCTTTCAACATCGCTGCCAGGATGGTTCGGATACACTACTATGACAAACTAAACCGGGTGTACCAGGTGTACTAAGCCGATGCTCTGTTATACTATACATAGACAACCAAGGCAGACATACTCTTAACATTGATTTATTTCCAATAGTCACACATTTTACATCACACTCTTGGTTGCAAATCCACATGACTACCCCAACGGGTTACCTCTTTCCGAGGTACTCCCACCAGGGCCAAATACGGACAATCTGGAGACCATTTTTCATGTTCGGCCCAGGGATCATCATCTACTTCCCAGTTCTTGAGAACGAGACCACATTGAAAACACTTGCAAGCGTCCCTCTGATTAAGTACACAAATCCTGCCTGAGCCATGTGACTAGGACTCTGTTTCATTTGCACTGGCCAGTCTTTAAACGAATCGAGTCTTTTCTGGAATGAAGTCCATTCAGTCTTGATTGCACAGCAATCGGCAACGACAGTCTTGTCGAATGGGTAATGTCCACACACATCCATGGTCCTATGGTAACACGTCCGCACAGTACAGCGTCTAAACCAAGAATGGCTTTACACCCAGTAACTGTAGTCACTAGGGTTGCAAAAGGAACACTGGTAGTATAATGTGTAATCACTAGGTGTAGTGACTGAGTATGACATGAGGCTGTTTGGGGGACTTTATATACCCACCCGAGTCTACAAAATAGACACATCAGGTGTACACACAATAGATCTCAATATAGACCTGAGACAAAGACTCATCATCTAAAAATAGACACACCAGATGTTCACACCATAGATCTCAATATACAACCTGAGACAGTGACTCATCATCTAAAAATAGACAACATCCGCCAGTCTGAGGATAAATGCTATAGGTTAGGTTTGTCGACCAGTTATAAAAATCAAAAACTACTTTTCATTGTAGTAATAGTGTATTTGATTGATTTATTAATAGGACTTTTGCATGACAAAGGTTATAACTTAACACTTCTCTCGTGGAAGCGAGGTGGTGTCAATATAATACTACTTACAGTATTATTGTTATTTCGACTACAACCTCGCTTCCGAGGAAGAAATCGTTATGTTACAAGTTGTGTCATGGAAAATCTTTATGGTCATCAATCATATACATATTTTACTACAACTAGTAAGTAGTTTTGATTCTTTAACTTCCGTGAAGCGATCTGAAGACAAGTAAGATATCGTTTCAGGCTTCCACAACGCTTGCTTCGCACTCACAAACATAACCCATTTAGCAAGGGTTGTAGTCAAAAGGGCCGAAGGACAAAAGGGCCGAAAAAAATGTCAAAAGGGCCGAGACTAAAAGTCAAATTGGCCGAAATGAAAAGTCAAAAAGGCCAAATAAATGGCAGAAAAATAAAAATTAAATAAATTACATAGTAAAATAGTGTTTAGTTTGTTGTTGATTTTTTAAATGGAATTTGAAAATGAGACTCAAATGTTTTCATTGTGAAGAGCCTTGACTCAGTGTCATGACTAATCCGTATGGGATGTTTGTGTTTGTTGTTGAAGTAAGTTTTTAATCCAAATCGAATTAAGACATGGGAGTCTAACGTTTTTATTGTAAAGTAGATGATGAGGGCATCGTTATAGAAGCTGGTTGATCTCTGTGACTACATGGAGCGACAGTGGATGGGTCACTCTATCTTCACAGTGGTCAGTTGGTTACTTCGTTATTTACTTTATTTAGCCGTCGCCACGCTACAACTAAGTTATTTCGGCGACACGGGCACCGCTTGTACACTTATTAGGAAATAAAGGGGAACAAAAAATATAAATTTTGAAAGAATGGTGTTACTGCCCCAAAACAAAATAGAAACGGAGTATTAAGGGAAATTTAAATGGAAGGCCGAATTAAAAAATAAGGAAAAAATTAAATAAGTAAAGAGTAATAGAGATTTGAATTTAATATAGATGTGGTATAATAAATGGTTATTGTTATTGAACGAATGAACTTGTGTAAATTACCATTATATAATTTTTGTTAATTATGTGAACTTGTGTTAATTAAGTAAGTTATGAACTATATGTATTGCCATTACATGTAAACTTGGTTACATGCTTGGCTATAACCATGCCATTACCATTTTATTATTGTTATGATGATATTATGTTTCAGTGTTATATGTGTCTATAAATAATGTATAACCTTTCTAAACTTTTTTTCTGTTCGGCCCATATGACTACGAATAAGGCCCTTTTGACTTTTTCCATCGGCCCTTTTGACTTGGCACTTCTCGGCCCTTTTGTCCTTCGGCCTATTTGACTAGTTCCCTTTAGCACGAACTAAGGGGTCCTGTGGAAATCTGTGCATGGTGACACCATCGCCCGTCCCCTAGGAGCAATTGACGACAAAGCAACGATTCGGCATGTCGTCGTTGATGTCGAGAAATCATCAAAATGATGAGCGTGCTACACACTTTCTATACAACTAACTGAAAATCGTTCCTCATATGACGTCACTGCAGTGCTCTGGCGACAGAGTTACGTAACATGTCTGTGGTTTCGTTGGCGGGCGAGTGTGAAGCAGGCGACTCTTTGGCAACTTTTAATCGCTCGGAATTAATTAACCACAAGATTTTTAAGAATGAATTTGGTGTTCCGCATAAGTCTAACCACAAATCTTTCATATGTAATAGATAAAGAGTACAAAAAAACAAAGTTTATTTGTTCTTTAACCTTAGTTTCTCAGTTAGCAATTGGGCGGGAATACTCCGACAATGTTCATAAACATCTACAGTATTTTCAGTGGAATATTACTGAATAGTATATGTACTAATGGTTAGAATCTTTCCTGTAATGTTGTTTATCACATAAATGCAATTTTCATTTCATGGAGGAAATAATGAATATCCACCCACCACCCACCCAGCCAGCCTTCCAGCCGGCCTTCCATCCATTTACAGACATATATTTAGAAGTTGGAGTCGTAAGTGTGCACTATTTTCACAAGAAAAACCTACTCACTGACCTCTCGGGTGGGTATTATTGCGCCATGACCCAGTTTTAGCTTGAGGGATTTTCTTTACCGTTTTCTGATCGATCTTCACATACATAACTGGGTAATAGAGAAGTTATTACACTCGCAAGTGTGCCATATGAATTACGTTTTATGTACTTGCTCGTGTATTAATTTCTATATGTATAGTGATTGTGATCACATATGTAAGTCCATGGTCCCTAGTATGGTGATCAGCCTTCAGTTGCTGGTGATCTATGGCCCGGTTTTATATTGTATTGTTGTCTATAGTGATATATTTTTAGGATAGTGTACTAGTTTTAAATTACGAGCTGTGCTATTCTAGTAGTATTACTGTCCTTCGATAACAGTTATTTTATGTTCTCAATTTATTGTTTTTTTATATTGATATAAATTAAATTGTTCCTGTCACGATATGGCTGAGATATTGCCGATGTGGCCTTAATTATGAACTCACTCACTCACTCATATATAAATATGGGTAACTGAGTTTTCTTTGTTGTAATAGATGGGATCGGCTCGGAGGAGGACCATGTATGCTATTTATACCACGACTCTTGTTCTAGTCTTTTATTTATCACCGGGTATGTTTTCCCTCATATTGTTCTCATTTCTGGTGCGGAAGTACTGGTATTTACCCTTCCTTCCACCACCAGATTATCAATCACATTGTCAGATTATTAATCACATTGTCAGATTATTAATCACATTGTCAGATCAGGCATCACATGATCAGATTATGAATCATATCGTAAGATTGGGTATCACATGATCAGATTAGTCACCACTTTGTCAGATTAGGTTATACCTGATCAGATTATAAATCATATTGTCAGTAATGCACGGATTACTGGAAAAGAAACCGTTTTGCTATAGTATTAAGCTTACTTGTCCACAATTTGTCACCGAGACTCCTAATTGTCGCGACTCCTAATTGTCATAAGGACATCCTTCGGGAACTGACGTGACTTGATTGGTAACCATCGATCCCATTTTCTTCACTGTCATTATAATCAAAACGTAATTCTAAATTATTGTGTGATACATAATTGTTCCCGCTGAGAAAGGGCGGTGGCGTAGCCTAGAGGTTAAAGCATTCGCTTTTCACGCAGGAGACGAAGGTTCGATTTCTGACATGGGCACAATTGGTGAAACCCATTTCTGGTGTCCCGCTGATCATGCTGGACTGTTTCCAAAAGCTGCGTAAAACCCTACTCACTCACTCCTGCTGTGAAGACGTGAAAATAAAAGTGGCATGCTGTCGGATGACAAATATAAGACCATAATTAGTTAGAGCTGTGTACACTTCACATCAATTTGAAGCATAATTACATCGATGACGGTACATACTCATTTATCTCTTTGATGCAAGTTGAAGTTCCTCACCAATATCTGTTCTCTTACAAACCCTCCATTCCATTCCCTCCACACACATTGTGGTTTCACCTATAATACTCTGGCCGGCATTTACTCATTTACATACTGAATCGCGTCACTTATATCAGCGTATCAGTTCTCATAGTTCGGAACCTGTGATGGTCCATTATTTTTAGTTTGGCTTGTTGTTTGACGCTGCGCTCATTAATATTCCAGTTGTATGTCGGCGGTGTGTAAATAATCGATGACATGTGTCAACCAAGTAACCACGTAACAAACCATCTTCCTGTAAGATGCATGGACGATAATCCACTCATGCTTGCGGTATAGAACCATACTTGTCACTATGACAAGCAAGGCTGTCACACCTGGCAACAGAAAATGATGATCATAAAACCACAATGCATAATGCATACTGATATTAAAAGAGAAAAGAAAACCAGGCGAAGCTGTTCCCGCGACACCACAGGAGAGATTGAACAACCCGACTTCACAAGCCCTTATATACCCCTATCTAGCAAGGCCATTTATTTTCTATAAAAATATATCAATTATATCTGACTGTATCGCAACGAGAAATCAATTTCATTCCCCTGTTGAACCAGAATGGAATTCCATTTTGTTTTAATTCTGTGACAACTATTTAACTAATTGCCCGATTTATGTTCTATTTAAACAGGTGCCGTGTATGGGGTCTCGGTTGGGAAATCAGAAACCCACTGTGGCACAGATAATGTATTTGATTTCATAAGTTAAGTATCTGAGAGTGAAATCAAAGTTTTGGAAATAAATGAAAACCTATCCCTACTGTGCTACTCAGACATATTGTCATTTGAGGTTTCATGTTGCTTGCATGCATTTTGTGTCTATATTCATATTATATTTATATGAGCGCCATTAGTCAATCTCAAATGGCGCATTGTATTATAAATCTCAACTCCCTGGGGATCATACTAGGCGCACCGAGTTAATGTGGCATGTCCCCTTTATGAGGTACCCATTCACAGTTTTGCTTGCAATTTTACTGCACGTTGCTGTTTAGGCACGTATTCATGTCATCAGGTGATATACCCAGGTTCGTGGGCTTTACGTGCGCAGGGTTGTGTACTGTACACTAGGGTAGTGACAACTCCCGCTGTGCTACTTAGAAACAAATCCATTGAAGATTTATTTGTACTGGCAATCGATGCTCTGTACTGGTATGGCTACTCCTACAGCGCTGCTTGGAGAGAAATTAAACATATCCCTCCTGTGCTACTTAGAAACATATCATTGAAGGTTTCTCTATGGTTGCAAGCAATTTGTGGACATATAAGAAACAGAAGTAAGTTTAAGGTTAATGTGATTTTTTGTAGTTATAGGGTGGGCGTATTACTGGGTGCTATCCTTACATAGCATAACAACTATAAGGTTACCCTATAAACCTACCTATAACGGAGCATAGCGTCATGTCAAGCATATATTTACCTATGCCTTGCCTGCTCCATAATGCAAATCTACTTATATTGGCGACCAAACAGATATGTTTCATATAGGAATAGAATTGACAGAATTACATCAAGCCTATTAAAAGATCAAATCCCTGGTATTTGTTTTAGATATTCCACAGTGCCATATTAGAAGTGACCAGAACACAGACACGCTGACACTGCATGAGGAACTGTCTCTCACTGTGGACATACAGGAATACTACTGCTCTGCCCAATATACCTTCTCACTGCTGTTAGGGGAGGACAATGTACAACTGCCTATATCGGAAACAGTGAACAAACCTACCAACAAAACAGCTGGCGTTTGACAACAAGCAGCAGATCTTGTCTTGTAATGGTATCAAAATCATCAATGGTAAGATTCGTAAGACCCTTAAATTATCCTGCAGATTGAAAAATTTAAGTACACATTCGTACAAATTGAACTTTCGTTTACCAAAACGTCATAAGGGTAATATTGTCACCTTAGTGGGGTAGCCTAGTTGTTGTGTCCGATGCTCGTCAAGCTGAAAAACTGGGTTCGATTAACCACATGAGCATAATTTCTCGAACACACACACACACACGCACGCACGCACGCACGCACGCACGCAAACACACGCACACACGCGCATGCGCGCGGTGAGTGAGTAAAATTTGAAGTCATATCGGCAGTATTTCAGCCACATCCTGACTATGAAAGTTGTAAATTGTAAATGTATACATGAAATAAATACAAGCCTATATACTTACCTGTCTGCGAAGGACAGACAGCTTCTATTTTGAGTTTTTTTATTTCCGTGGAGATCCAATATTGTGATCACTTCTGAGCATCTTAAGAGTTTCTGAAGAAGATATGTAAACGTGTTGCACTCTGTTTCATTGTTTGAGTTGAAGTTGGAATAAGGTTGTATTGTGAAAACGTTAATACCAAACGAAACACGAACAGGTGCACTGTCTTTGTTTCAGTTGCCCCCAGATGCAGGGTCATAAGCGGCAAGGCTATAAAGACAGTTGCGCAGCACGAGGAACTAGAGCTTTCCGTGGACATCCAGAATTACTTCTGTTCTGCAGCAAACAACTTCACACTGCAGGTCGGGAATGTCAGCCAGCCCTTGTCTCCAGCCGCTATTGAGAATAGACTTAGGAATATGACAGTCAACATCACCTTGAACATAACAAATTTACCCTTAGGGGACGTGAGATTCGTCTTTCTCTGTCAAGACCAAAAACAAGTCTTAACATGTGATGGACATGAACTAATCCAAGGTGAGCATGAACAGGTCATTTGATTGAAGATACATCACCTCACAGTGTTTTATGTCAAATCTAAATCATGCATTTTGTCTGGACTTTTCCAGCAGCTTCAATCAGAAGAGTTCATATACAAAATGTGCTGTGTATCGTTGGCAAACATTCTAAAGAGGTGATCTGTCCCTAACTTATGCTTTAAGCAAAACTATTTGTATAAA